GCCCCGGGGTCACCGCGCTCCCGGCCCGTGGTCCGAGCCCTGCCGCCCTCCGGCAGCGCCCTCCGGCAGCGGCTGCGCCAGGTGAGCTCCTGCTGAGCTCCAGGTGAGCGCCGCTGGCTCCTCAGCGCCGGGCGGCGGGGACGAGGGGCAAACCAAGGGAGGGCAGATTCTGACCAGATGTAAGGAGGAAGGTTTTTACGATGAGAGGGGTGGTGAAACCGGCGTAGGCTGCCCAGAGAGGCGATGGATGTCCCATCTCTTGAAACATTCCAGGTCAGGCTGGACAGGGCTCTAAGAGACCTGATCTAGTTTAGGATGGTCCAGTGCACCGAATTGGGGTCGGACTGGATGGTCTTTAAAGGTCCCTTCCGACCCAACACATTCTGTGACACCATGTCTCTCCTTGCAGTGTGCAGAACGGATCCCAGAGGCTGAAGCGGTGCTCGACCTGCTGGAGAAATGCCCAGGGCACCAAAAAAAAGGAGGTTTTCCCGTCATAGTTTTTGAGGGGCTGGATGCCACGGGTAAGAGTGACGTGTGGTTGAAGAACCACAGATGAGAAATTGTTGAAAGGAGCATCTGCTATGTTTTATATTAGGCATAAGACTTTAAAATAATATAAAAAAAATCTCAGAAACCTGTGACAGATAAGAAATTAATAATTACAAATGCCAATCTGTCTTCTCTTGTAAAAGACTAGTGTATGCTGATTTACATTCAGTGGTTTAATTCCTTACCTATGCAAATGAAAGAATACAGAGTAGAGTACTGAAAATTAAATTTCTTGTGCAGATGATGAAACACACTTTTACTGGACAGTTTTCAAATAAGTGGACTAAAATAGTGGTAGTCTGGAAAATTGACGGCAATTTGTCTAAGAGAGAAATATTACTTGCCTCTGACTAGCTTTGTTTTCTAACTTGTCATTTAAAGAGGACTGCAAATCCTCATAAAAAGAAGGAATTGGATGACCAGCATGGCAACATTCACATAAAATGCAACCTAGAAAAATATTATGAATGAATATATAGGGAAATTATAAATGAATATATAGCGAAATTTCCATGAATATGTAGAGAAATTGCCATGCACCTAATGCATTTAAAGGAGTGAAGACTTGAAAGCTGGCTAAATGAAGGGCTGGAAGGCCCAGAGAGCAGGAAGGGGAGTAATAATTCCTGCAACCAGACTCAGAATCATTTTCCACTGGAAACCTTATGACAAGATGCTCAGGTTACTTATTCAGATGTCAGAGCCTGTGCTCCTCATGAACAGACAGGAGAGTTTTTTAGTTTTTAAAACTCAGGTGTGTCTGGTAAACAATATAATGAATGTTTCCTTCTGTAAATGAAATGTAGGCAAAACCACAGTGACCCAGGCTGTTAAGGACACCCTGAATGGAGTTCTGCTGCGGTCCCCACCAGCTTGCATCAGCCAGTGGAGGACTGTATTTGATGATGAGCCAACACCCATTAAAAGAGCATTTTATGCTGCGGGCAACTACATTCTGGCTTCAGAGATAGCGAAAGCATCCACTCAGGCACCTGTGATCATAGACAGGTTTGTGTATTTAAGAAGCTTTCTTATAGCAGTGCTCTCATACAAGTTGTTCAGTGTTACAAGCAGTCAGTGATTGTGTTTCTTCAGAGGTTTTGTTTTGGGTTTTTTGTAGTTTGTTTAGGGTTTATTTGGAAGCACTCTGCAGAAAGATAAATATTGTATCTTCTAAAGATAACACTAATGATAACAGTAAAATGGGGACCTTCAATCAGTGTAATACTCATAACTAGATTTAGGACACATGAAAATTGTCACATATTCAGTTAGGAATAGTGGAGGCACAGACTGTGCATCCTGAGATAAACCAGTGTTTTGTGACAAACCAGAAGAGACTGTGGGCTGCTGGTCATGGCTGTCTCTGAGATGTGTCTGAGATATGGGTGGATTGGAATGACTGAGTTTTAGGTAGACTTACTCTTTGTGAATTTGAAGCCAGAAATATGCTTCCCACTTTTTTGGGGTTGGTTTGTGTTATTTCTGTGTTATTTCCCTAACTGTAGGCAGTCTACAATATTACTGTTAATAAAAAAAGTCTAGATGTACTTTGAGCCCTCTGGCTTATTTCAGTAGGTGTAGTGTAACCTCCTGCTACCACACACACACACTCATATGCTGTTTGCATGTGAATGCTGTTTTCAACCACCCTCAAATCCACTGAGATCTATCAAACACAGTGCCTTGTAGTGGGGAGAATGTTAAATGCAAATGAAATTAGTAACATTAGTAATGGCTGGGTTCATTCACAAGTTTGTGAAGACTGCATGCTCTCTACCAAATCTATTGCATTAAGTAGGATGGGAACCACAAAAAAGGGGACTCGGAGTAAAGGATTTTGAGATATATTGTAACTTTCTTGACCTGTCTCATTAGATAAGGATACTTTCTTTTGATAGTAGTATCTGAAACAGTGGTTACATAGTTTTAATTAATAGTTCACATTAACTCTGAACAGTGCACTGAGTATTATCATTGATAAGAAATTACGGATAGCACAGGACTGTTATTTGGACTTCCCTTCAAAGCCATGGTGTCACCTATCTCATCATTATTGGCTTGTAATAGTGCCAACTGTCTCCTATATTACTGAAGAATTAATGTTCTCTTTAAAATTTCTCTTTGTATTTTCCTGGCAGATACTGGCACAGCACAGCTGCCTACACAATTGCCACTGAAACAAGTGGGAAAGTCCAGGATCTTCCACCAGCTCAAGATGAGGTGTATCAGTGGCCTGAAGATCTGCTTAAACCAGACCTTGTTCTTCTCCTGACTGTTGACCCTGAAGAACGAGTCCGGAGACTTCAGCATCGGGGGCTGGAGAAAACAAAGGAGGAAGCTGAGTTGGAAGCTAACAGCTTGTTTCGCCAAAGGTACCCTTTAATGGGGAATAAGAGGCTGGAGGCAATCTTGGCTCCCGTGGGATCAATAACAAATGTGCCTCTCACATTACTGGGACAAGAATTTCCTTTGTCTAAGCTTTTGTTTAGTTTTTGGTTTTTTTGGAAAGAATGCATGGCTTCCAGGGAGGGTAAATTCTGTCACTTCTAAATGAAAGTGTTTGAAAGATGCAGATGTATAATTTAACTGTCCTGTAAAGGACCTTTGAGTTAAAATACTTGTATTCTGCTTTGCTACTTTTATTTTAGCATCTTTCTTAGTGAGGTCATGAAGGAGATGGACTTAAAAGTTCCAGGACTGGGTGGCAAGAAGTTGAAACACAGAGCTTCCCCAGGAAATTCTGGAATTGAGCTCCAGATTAAGAGAATAAAATTCAAACATCCTCTTGTAGATGTATTTTGTTGTGCAAAGTGTGTCAGCTAGCCAATACATTCAATGGAGCCTTTAAAGTGATTAATATACCACTTGTTTGGAGCTCTGTGGTCTAAACTTAAGTATCTAAAGCCTTTTGACATGAGATTGCTTCAGAACCCGTGGACACTTTCTGGGCTAGGAACTGGAAGCTAAATGAGATATTCCAGAGCATCTCAAGCAGTACTGGTACATTTACTTAAGCAACTGAATGGCACCCTAGGTATCCTGCTTCAGGGCGTGCTGAAATGCTGTCTAGGCTCTGCCAAATGTATTGATTAGATCATCTTTGTCTAAGGTGGAAACTCAAATACCCAATGTTCATGTAGATACCTCAGCTGAGACACCTGAATATTGGTTGCCATATCTACAAGCAAGGCTGAAATCTACCTTTAGGCTTTTACATTTCTGGTGATGATAGACCTTAAAAATAGTCACTGGCAGCAGCCAAAGTGGCTCTACAAAGGAGAGATTTTGCCTGGAAAATTCAATGCTGGTGGCTGGGAAAGAACAACTGATGCCATCTGCCTGGACTTCTGCAAAGTGTTTGACAGTGTCCCATGTGACATCCTCATCTTCAGACTGGGGGGACATGGATTTGATTGGTGGACCATTAAATGAACAAAGACTTGGCTGGATGGCAGCACACAAGAGTTGTCAGCTTATTGCCCACATGGGAACCAGTGACAAGTGGTGTCCCCTGGGGTGGCTACTGGGGCTGGTATTATCCAGCATCTTTTTGGTGACATGGACAGTGGAAGTGAGTGCACCCTCAGCAGATTTGCTGTGTGGTGCAGTGGACATACTGGAGGGAAGGGATGCCATTCAGAGGAACCTGGACAGGTGTGAGAGGTGGGTCTGTGCAAACCTCATGAAATTCAACAAAGGGAAGTACAGTGTCCTACACCTGGGTCATGACAACCCCAAGCACATCTACAGGTTGGATGGAGAACTGATTGAGAGGGCTCTGCAGATAAAGACTTGAGGGTGATGGTTGATAAAAAACTCATCATGAGCTGGCAATGTGCACTCACAGCCCAGAATGCCAACTGTGCCCTGGGCTGCATCAAAAGCACCATGGCCAGCAGGTTGAAGGAGGAGATTCTCCTCCTATACACTGCTCTTGTGAGATGCCACCTAGAGTGCTGGATTCAGTTTTGGTGTCCCCAACATAAGGACATGGAATTATTGGAGAAAGCTCAGAGGAGGGTAACAAAGTTGATAAGAGAACTGGAGCACCTTCTCTATGAAGACAAATTGAGAAAGGGGGGCTGTTCAGCCTGGAAAAGAGATAGTTGAGTATACACCTCTCTAGGTTCCTCATAGGAACCTTCCAGTATCTGAAGGGGCCTACAGGGAAAGCCAGAGAGGGACTCTTCATCAGGAACTATAGAGGTAGAACAAGGAGTAATGGATACAGATAGAAAGAGGGGAAATTTAGGCTAGCTATTAGGAAGAAATTTTTAACTATGAGAGTGGTGAGATACTGAAACAGGTTGCCCAGAGACACTGTGGTTGCCCCAACTCTGGCAGCATTCAAAGTCAGGTTGGATGAGGCCTTAAACAACCTGGTCTTGTGGGAGGTGTCCCTGCCCATGGTAAGAGGATTGGGACTAGATGATGTTTAAGGTCCATTCAAGCCCCTTAACATTCTGTGATTCTGTGGTTTCTTAATTTTGACAGAAACTGTGTGGACACAGCTCATATAGTGGGACCTGCGGAGGGATGAGTTAGCTAGGGAACATACTGCCATTTAGGAATCTTTTACATTTTAATTCTGTTACTTCAAATTCATGTCAGAAAACCTTTAGTTATTTCTGCCTCTTAATTATGTCAATCTGAATATGAGAACATCCAGAATCTTCCTTGATTTGTCTTGTGACTTCTGTCCTGAATGGCATTATGGGAACATAGAAAATAATATTCACATCCTCATTCACACCCTCAAAGACTAAATGTGGGAGAGCTCTGCATTATGCTTATAGCCTAAATGAGGAAATTTTCATCCTGAATTTTATCCTGATATCCATCTGGTTAGTTGATCAGAGGAAGGGGTTGAATGATAAGTCAACTCTGTAATCCAGTGAGTCAAAGATGAGATCAGTCAATGAATATAACTACACAATGCATGTTAATTAGTTTAGAGCTCTGGGAATCAATGTCAAGGAAACTATGTGCTTTGAGATTTACATTGTAATAGTTACTAATGGTTTGTTGTTCTTTGCAGTAGATTTCATTCTTAGCCTCAGATTTTCTATCCTCTGTCTCTGCAGTGTGAGCACTGTATTCTGAGACTGATGTCTAATTTCATTTCATATCCCTGCATTTTGAATTTTAATTTCTCTTGTTTTGTTTTAGAGTTGAAGAGTCATACAGAAGGATGGTGAATCCTGCATGCCAAGAGGTTGATGCCAGCCCCTCCAAGGAAGAGGTTCTCAAGACTGTTCTACAACTAATTAAGAAACACTGTGCTTTTTGAAAGTAACTTTTGTGTAGGAGCACTTAAAAGCTACTTTTTATTGCCCCAGTGGCTTTGGTACCTGAAAATGCACAGTGATTTTTGTCTCACAGAAATACTGAATATGGTTTTATTCTGACCACAGTAATCTGTGCAGGTTAACTGTTTTGTGGTTGCTACTGTACTGTACTTATACTTTTCTGTATAAGGCAAAATGCTACTCATGTCATTCAGCATTCTTAGTAAGGAAACAAACATACTGCAGTCCTGCATGAAGTACCTCAGAGTGCTCTCTGACACCAGGACATTTTGAGGTGCTATCATGTTGCATCTTCATCATCAGGAGAACATGTTCCCCAATCCATTGTGTACCAAAATTTGCTGCACTGCATCAGGAGCATTAGATGCCCAAGGAGAGGCTTATATATCATCAGCACTAAAACAATAAAGTTATCATAACATTTAAGAACAGAAAATCCAGTGCCCAGTGTGGTATTTCTTTGAAATAGAGGATGAGCAGCTGTTGCTGTGATGGGCATCCTGGAAAAAAACCTGTTGTAAATGACTGCCAGTAAACACCAAGGGCTGTAAGTAATAAAGTCTAAGTCTGTTTATATATGCAACTGAAATATCAATTATTTTCAGAGGGAAACCAGACAATGCCAGCAAATGAGAAACAGAAATCTGAGGTGAACCCAAAATTAACAGCTTATAAATGATCACTGAAATATTTTTTACAAAACCTTTTCTCTATCCAATTAATATTTGTTAATGAGAACTAGTAATCTTTTGAGAGAATGTAAAATGAAAAACCACAGAGATTCTGAGCAATGGGTATGATTGCACCTTTTCAGTTAATCTTTTCTTTCTTGTGTGGGTGTTTGAACAGGCTGAATGGGAAAGGCTACATCAAGACTTTATTTTTACTTTATTTTCATGTACATTAGTTTAATTATTGTTACTCTTAAGTGTAAAACTAAATATATGGATAAGCCTTTGTGAGGTCAGAAATAAATCTGCATTTCCAAAAAAAAAGAGCTGAAAATGTAAATTTGATTTAAAACACTTTTACTTACTTTTCTGTTTTAAGCAAGTGCAATTATCAATGAATCTGTACTCTAAATAAAAATATACTTAGTAGTGTAGTTCCTATATCCAGTCTGTATTTACAAGGTTATAGAAAGAAAAACTTCTAAAAATATATTTTATTCACACTGTTTAATGGTTTTAATGGTTATTAATATTATTAATATATTGTATCATTTATGCATTCTATAAATTTATAAATTTTAGAAATAGATGCTGTTTTGTTTGGTATATTATTTTTATTTCAGCAGCCTTTGGATTTGCCATACATGCAGACTGAAAATGCATACTTGTAGCTGCTCCAATTATTTTAGAAATTATAAAGCATTCAATTTTTCAGTCCTGAATAGAGGAAATTCTTATATAGAAGACGCTACTGCATATTAATGATCAGGGTGCAAATATGTGCCTGTCCTAAATATTGTGTAGCCTTTGCTTGTCCAGGTGAAGGATTACCCTGCCTGAGAAACTCTGCTTGCCCTTTCTCCTTACACAGACTTTCACATGAAGCCAGACTTTCTGGGTTTTGATGCTAGGTTCTTAGAAGTGTAGGTTTGTCTTTGAAATGGTGCTGATAATGTATGCAAAAACTGACATCAGGCATTATTAATCACACACATGTAGAATATATTCATAGTTTAAGTTTTTCTGTAACCCAAAGCTAGTGATGCAGAATCAGAGAACAACAAAGCAAGGTAGACAAAACAAACATTTCCTTTCTCACATCTTTATTAGAATTAAAGGTCTGCAGGAAGCTGTGTGCCACATGCAGGATGTTAATGTGCAGAACCATACTTCCCATTTCTGTGGCATTTCTGCCAGTTTTTTGTCCACAGTGTCTAAAAAGACTACACTTCATTTACATTTAGGACAAATCACAGAATCAAAAAAATGGCTTAGGTTAGAAGGAATCTTAAGGATCATCCCTGCTGTGGGCTGGGATGCTGCCCACTAGGTCAGGTTTCTCAGGGACCCATTAAATCTGGACTTGAACACATCCAGGGATGAGGCATCCTCAACTTCCCTGTTTCAGTGCCTCAACAGCCTCTCAGTAAGGAATTTCTTCCAATTATCTAATCTAAATCTTGCCTCTTTTAGTTTAAAACAATTTCTCCTTGTACTGTCACTATCTGCCCATGCTAAAAGTCACTCTCCCTCATGTTTATAAGACCCTTTCAGGTACTGGAAGGCTGTTTTAAGGTCTCTCCAAAGCAATCACTTCTCTGGGCTGAACAGCCCCAGCTCTCTCAGCCTGCCTTTGTAGGAGAGGTGCTCCAGCCCTCTGATCACATTTGTGGCCCCCTCTGGACCCACGGAGATGTTCAAATGATGTCAATGACTCCTTGTACACAGGCAGGTCTGGGAGAGGAGCAGCAGGAATACACAAATGGCCATCCCACACCCAACAAGAGCATCACCTGGGTTAGAAACTGACAGAAACATTTTCTGGACAGTTTGATGTCCACAAGAGGTCAGGATTTTTTGTTTAAGTGCTTGAAAGGCCTGTAATCTTCAAGTATTTCCATGCGGATTCAGAAATGTAGGCTGTTCCTTGGAAGGTAATTTATTTTTTCTGCAACTTTGGAGGGTGCTTGCAGTATCAGACCTCCTGTGTAAGGGAGGTTAAGCCATGACACAGCTGGCCCGTGGCCACCAGCCTCTGCCAGGCAGTCCTGAGTGTGGTCAGCCCACAGAGCATCCCTGCTCACCCGCAGCCACCCTACACTGGACACCAGGAGTTTGCCAGTAACAGAGAAGTGCTGCTTTCTGTCAGTCACCCTCAGGAGAGAAAACATGCCAAAGCCTGTTTCATTTATTACTATCCCAGCAAAATCAGTAATTTGATAATTTATTGATTTACTAGCTTTAGGATATGGTCCTGCAAAGACTCTGATGTTACAGTCCTCAGAGTGTCTGGGGCATTAGGCCAGTAAATTACACAAACAGAAACTGAATCTCAAGCTTTGCAATTATTCTGTTAAAGCCAGTGAATTCAGCCCTTAGCGAAAAATAAATGCAATTTGTAAAATTCAGCTGTTTCTTGAAGGACAAAACAGTATTTCTGTCCTTGTCAGATTAAACTTTGTATACTTTTTTAGTTTATTAAAAAGAATTTTAAATAATTTTTCCAAGAAATTCTATTTTTATTATTTTATTTATTCTACACTGTGTATTTTATTTCACAGAACACACCATAGTATTTCAAGCATCTCTTTTCTCATTTTTAAGCTCATTTGCTTCGATTTTTTTGGTCTAGAGGGGGATGGATGCTAAAATAAAATGGTATTCAGTTGCCTAAACATAGACATCCACAGCAGTTAGTCTCCCTAAGGTATCTGAGATGTCTGCGTGGGGCTGCCAGATATGACACGAGACATTTGGTTGAGCTGTTGATCTGCAGAGTGGCAGCTGGAGGCCTGCAGGGGTACCATATGGTGCCTAAAATGGCACTGTTCACCCATTTAAACAGTGAGAGGGTTACAAAGCAGCAGTGCAGCCTCTTTGGGTTGTGTCTACGTTAGCAGGTGGCCTGGAACAAGTAGGGATGATCTGTAGCACAGAGGAGCTGGCACAGGGGACACGGAGTGTGCCCTCCGTGTATTTCAGAGATTTATTTCAGACCAGCTCTAATCTGGTCACATTGACTGGCCTCATGTTAGCAGCTGTAGTGCAATAAGTGCACTCCCACACCAGATCTGTTTTGTTTAGCTTTGTCTGGATGGAATCCAGTTGGTAGATGCCAGGACTGTTTCAGCACATGAAACAAAGCATGGCAAGGATGGGTGCTCAGGAGGAAAGCTGCCACAGCGCTCTCCTGATCCAAGGTGAAGTGCTAATGTGGATGTATTGTGTAGAAGAGATGTAGACACAACACAGATCTCTTGGAAAGATTTCCTTGGAGTCAAAACAGACTTTGGGGCTAGTTTCATCAGCGTCCTATTGTGGATGAAGATAGAACATGCTACAGCTCCTTTTGGTCCATGTCCTGGACTTCCTGCCAGATGTAACCTCTGGACAGGTGCAAAGAGTGAATTTTGTTGCTTGTTTGACCCCATTCTCCCATAGCGTGAGGTTCACCCAGTGTAGCAGTAGTGAGTGCTGCTGTCAGTATGGGAGGCGAGGAAGCTACTTGAAAGCAAATACCAAGCTTCAGTGAAATGTAAGGCAGGTGTTTAGCCATTCCCCTCCTAAAAATAAGTTTGCAAGACAATTTCCCCAAAGTCAGATGCTAGGAGGCGACATGCAGGCTTTCTCAGAAGACATGAAATGTCTATCTCCACTGCAGCTACAGTTTCTAACTCATGATTTTACCATTATTTTCTGTAGAGTTACCAAGCAATTTTATATACAAACTGATATTTTATCAAGTAGGAGTTCACTAGTGCCTGGAGCTAGCACATGGAAGCTAGAGAGGTCAGGTCTTCACTAGGTTTTCATTGTACTTTGTCTTTTCCACACAGCATTACCAGCTTATAGAAATTTGTCTAAAACTGTGCATGCTGCCTCTCCTATCAATTTCTGCCTTTTCAGAGGCAAGGGAGTCAGGACACTCAATGGGACTTTGATGAAAGGAAAACTGTCTCTCTCAAAGTTCAGGATAAACAAAGCCCCCGAGGAGTTTTTATTTTTATTTTCCTTTTTTTTCTTTTTCCTGCTTGTTCAGTCCCAGTTACCATATTTTATTAATTCGAATAGTTGAAGAAACTTTTAAGTTGTTGCTGCAGGGGGCTGCACTGACTTTGATCTTTTAAATAGAAAGCTTTGTTCAATAAAATTAAATCAGCTCTTTTGTGAAGGCAAAGATTATCACCCTCTGGCTTAACTTAACTAAACAGATGTAAGGTTTATGTAAATATGCAGTCAGTGCAATACGAAATAAAAGCTACAATACCTTGCCATTAGTGTAAAAATGCTTTTTGAATTACCAGCTGGCCAGTCATGACCTTTTATTCAGCCACAAAGCCAGTGCATGTCATGTACTCCAAAGCAGGGGAAATAGGATGAAAAATGCTATGTCTACAACCTCATTGCTTATGAAAACACCCAGACAGAAAAGATGCACTTTAAGCATGTGGCAAGTACAGACTGAGTTCCAGTAGGGTAATTTACATTTTCTGCTGCTTTCCCCCTCTCTGGAACCAGCTACACTGGTGAAAGTGCTATAATTCTATATGATCCCTGCCTCTATAGCCACCATCTGCCCTGCAGTAGCCAGAGGGGCAGGGAAGAAATTATAGCATGGAAAAGAAGAACTAAACCAAGGCTCTTTCCCTTGCTGAGATGGAAGGTCAGCTTTATTCCTGGGACCTCGTGGAGAAGGAGAGCAGGAGGGGAAGAGGACGAAGTATTGATAACATATGTCTTCTTGAAGGCAGGGGAAAGAGGGTGGATTACATTCACACAGCCAATAAGGAGAACTGGGGACAAAGAGATAAGGGAAAGAAACTTACATTCTATATTTTGGGGGTACATTCTCTCAGGTAATACCATTTTTCTAAATACATTGCAACATGAAAGCTTAATGAAGGCTGCAGACTTCCTTGGGCTTTCAGTTTTATTTCATGAGAGATGTTGCAACCAAGTAGGCACAGCTTTCCTTGAGAAGACAGAAGACACTAATTTTGCAGATGCTTCAGACCACATCCCACATCAGTAAGTCACCTGAGCCAGTGCTGAGGCTTTTGTTGGTGATACAGATGCCACACCCTGAGAGCTGTGCTTGAGACCCTCACTGCAAGAAAGGCATTGAAGTGCCAGAGTGTGTGCAAAAAAGAGCAACAAAGCTGGTGAAAGGTCTGGACCACAAATCCTATGAGGAGTGGCTGAGGGAGCTGGGGTCATTTAGCCTGGAGCCTTGGTGGAGATCTCATCACTATCTACAGCTGCCTGAGAAGGGGGTGTAGTGAGGTGGGTGTTGGTTTTTTCTTCCAAATAATAAAGCAATAGGACAAGAGAAAATGGTTTCAAGTTGTGCCAGGAAAGGTTTCGATTTGATATTAGAAAAAATATCTCAATGGGAAGGTCTATCCAACATTGTAACAGACTGCTCAGGGAAGTGGTAGCCATCCCTGGAGGTATTTCAAAAATGTGTAGATGTGGCATTTGGTGCTGGGCTT